GCCTTTCGTAATAGGTGTCTGGGAGCAGTTTTCACAGCATATTTGTTGTCCTAAAAATATCCTTATGTATCCTACTAATATTATAAACGCGAAAGTTTGTAAGTATGTATGTATGGATGTATGTTTGTTACTCTTTCACGCAAAAACTACTGAATGGATTTTGATGAAACTTTGCAATAATATTGCTCATACATCAAAATAACACATAGGTTACTTATCCCGGAAAAAAGTACGGTTCCCGTGGGTTTGATTTATCTTTATTTTTCTAGAGGTGAACCCGAACGAAGCGAGGGTGAGCCGCTAGTATTTAATATGACAAGAAATATTAAAAAAATAATTAGCATTAAGTTACCTATTACATTTTTTTACTGAACTCATGAGTCTACCACCAGTTTGGAAAGAAAAAGCCTTTTTACTGAAAAGAACGAGTGAAATTAAATCCGTAGAACTTTATTTGTTTTTTATATTTAATCTTACACTAGAGTAATAAGTTTTTTCTTCAGCACAGAAGTTACATTTGCTTACAATTTCATAAAGAACTTCTGCTAAAGTGTAAGTCCAAATAACAACAGTTTGTTAAGTTTAGTTCTAAGAAGAAATTAAAAAGTTCTGCTAGATTACAGATATTTTTTTTTACTTTTAAATAAAAGCTTATCTTACAATTTTTATCCAACATTCCAAAGATTTATTTTATAAGCTACTTACGTGTGTAATTTAACTTATAGCAAAATTATATATTTACTGTGTAAAAAAATCCAATATCAAATTTTTAATCTAACAATCGCAGTTAGTAAACAATATCTTTTTGTAAAAAGACGTACATAAATAGTCTGTAAAGAATCCATTTACTCAATAAACACGTTTGGCTCAATTTGTAGTGATCCTACTTGCTGTGCCAACGGTCGCGGTTTCGAGTCCGCTGGGGGCATTCATTTATGTGATGAGCACGAATGTTTGTACTCTTGTCATAGGTGTTTATATTTATAATATGTATGAATTTAAAGTTATATATATGTAGTGTATCAACTATCTGGTATCTATAACACAAGCCTCGTATCTTACCATGGAACTAGATGATACTGTGTGTTAATGTCCCAAATAAATGTAATAAAATAATGTAACCCAGTGATAGATATTACAATTAATCTTTATAAGTAAGTATTGATATATTATCATATTTCTGGATAAAAATGTTAATAGATCTTATAACTTGCACAGTATTTTGGCACATATAGTTTATTAGTAAGGTCATAAATTGCACGAACAAACCATTTATGTCTGACTAATTCCTATTTATAGCGGCTGCATTATTCTATATTATAATATCATATATTTATACTAATAAACAATAAAATCTATAGACAAATAATAAAATCTACATAAATAAAGTAAATATTGTTTGTTGGTAAAAGTATACTTTGAGAACCTTGCTTGACATTTTTTTTAAGTTTCATAATTTTGGAAATACGGTTCGTATGGGAATAAAATAAAAAATTTGGCAGAAAAATAAGGACGAAAAACAAAAAGTGGTTTTATATATATACTAGCATTGCCCGCGGCTGCGCCCGCGTTCAGATGACCAAAAACCAAGATCTTAGGTTTTACATATTAGTATACTCTTACAATGCAGTTTTTGTATTTTTTCTCAGAAATGAGATGTTTTCCCGCGGTAAAAAGTATCCTATATATATACCGGGATAACCAGCTATCACCATACCAAATTTCATCAAAATCCCTCCAGTGGTTTTTCCGTGATGCGGTAACAGACAGACAGACAGACAGACAAAAATTCTAAAAACTATAGATTCGGCCTCTGTATCGATAATAATGCCTATTTCAATAAAATTTTCAAAAAAATATTTAATGTACAGATTCGGCTTAGTTACAATTTTATTATACTCGTATGTATAGATTGTATAAACTCAAAGATAAATAAACAACTATATTGAAATTTGGAACAGGACGTTTGTTGGATCAAAATATACGAATAACAATCAATACACAAGAACACAGTCAATTTAACTAACTTTTACTGAACAGCTTAATCTATTCGTCAGTGTAGTAATATGGAAATATTATGCAAAAAGTGCTATCTCATATTTAATATACAAGGATGTAAGTATAAAGAATAAACAAGAGTAATGGTCCAAGGATATATCCTTGCGAAACCCCACACCTAATGGAGCCTCGTGCAACGAGAACTTTATTAGAATTATGTGTATACATTAAAAATATTTACAAGATAGGTAATATTAAAATATGATAATATTTCTAACTCCAAATAACTGACTTTTAGACTTTATTCTATTTTTTTAATTATACTTAAAAATTACACGTCACAGTGAAGCCGGAGATTTTTTTTTACTAGGTGTAAGGCTAAGTCGGGTGCCAATAACTTTATTATTTACTAAATACAAACATTTTTGGGACTTTAACTTAAAAATAATAATAACCATTTCTATACTTGTTCTATAAAGAGGAAAGATTTGTTTCTTATTATTTTTTATCAATTCGAAAAGATAGTTTTATTTAAAACTAGCGACTCACCCTCGCACCGCTCGGGTTCGTCCCTACTTACGTTTTGACGTTTAGTATAGATTTCTCAGAGATGAGATATTTTCCCGCAATAAAAAATATCCTATATGTTGACCCGGATAACCAGTTAACATCATACCAAATTTCACCAAAATCCCTCTAGTGGTTTTTCCGAGATGCGGTAACAGACAGACATACAATAATTCTAAAAACTATAGATTCGGCCTCTGTATCGATAATAATGACTATTTCCATAAGATTTTCCAAAAAATATTTAATGTACAGATTCGGCTTAATTAGAATTTTATTATACGTATAGATGTAAAATATTTGCGTCAATCTAAGAAAGTATTAAATCTATATATAGTAACAGCAATTTGTTTTAATATTTCTATTTTAATTTCCTATATATTTTCCTAAGAGAGTAAAGACTACTTTATAAAAAAAAATCTCACGATAAGATCTTATTACCATAACGTCGTTTTGCCAATTCATTCTGTTTATTGTTTTTGGGATCCTAAAAGTTTCTACACGATTCCGCATTGAATGTAAATATAAATAACGACTTTTAGTTCTTTACTGATATTCTTTCTTTGTTTTTCAAGATATTTTACCATTATTGAAATTGCTCATTTGTAAATATATTGTTATTTATCTTTGAATTTAGAATAAAGCTTTTTCTTATTTTATAAGCCCAAAAATGTAAGAATGGGATGTTATTATTTCTCAGACAAGAACATCTCTGGTGATTGTGATTGGTCTTGAAATATTTTTTTGGATTCACGTAGCTGTATGTTTGAACTTTACTTTATACATAAAAATATATTTAATTAAGCTTATTTAGAGTTTCTAAAATACACTAGCGACTGAGATAGGATATTTTCTCGGAGTAAAAAGTATCCTATATGTTGACCCGGATAACCAGCTATCATCATATCAAATTTCATTAAAATCTGTCCAGTGGTTCTCGTGATGCATTCCCAAACAGACGGACAGACAAACATAAATTTTAAAAACTATAGATTCGGCGTCTGTATCGATAATAATGACTATTTCAATAATATTTTCCAAAAAAATATTTAATTTACAGATTCGACTCAGAATTTTATTATATGTATAGATTATAAGAACAATATTTGTTTATAGGAAATATAAAGTGGCTTCTTTGATTATATACATGTATATAATTAAAGAGTGACTTAATAGCATCGAGTAGACTGAAAGTGGCAATTGCTTTTTACTACTATTGCAATTGATTCTGTAAAGAGAAATGTTCACAATCTGGTTAAACCTAGAGTCAAAAATTATTAGCACGAAAACAAAAAAGTTTCTATCTGTTTTTCCCCCTTATTATCTTCTATTCCTTAATTTCCAACAGGATCCTAGTCTATAATAGTCTAATAACAATTTTTGCGACAATATCTTTGCATTAATTTTAATATTACTTTATAATCCCATAAGACATTTTTCAGAGAATATTTTTAACGCTCCTATATTAGCTTAACTTTTACGTTTATTATAATTTTGTATATAAGCAACTTTAAAAACTCGCATTTTTGTCTGCTTCTAAAGATTATAGTGTCTTTAGAGATAGTTAAAAGTCTTAAGTTTGGGTTCATTTGTTTCTTTTTGAATTATATATATATATATATATATATATATATATATATATATATATATATATATATGATGATGATGTTCTCCTAGCCGATTCCGGCCACGGCGGCCAATCTCAATGAGATTAGCCAACTGCGCAGGAGATATTATAGTGCTCAAGTGTACGCGCAGACACAAGTGCACTCTCTATTCCTATCACTCTCATACTCCGGTGGGACGACCACTCGACACGACCGGTGATAGTTAAGGCGCAGGACCGACGGCTTTACGTGCTCTCCGAGGCACGGGGGTTGAAACACCGCCAACTTCCCAACTCCGGGCTGTTACTGAGACTTACTATACAGGAAGACTCAATAACTAAACTTGGCCCGACCCGGGACTCGAACCCAGGACCTCCGGGTGTGCAGCCGTACATGCTAGCCACTACACCACCGAGGCGTATATATACAGCGTATATTTTAATAAAGAGGTTCTAATAATGACAGCGGTTGACACCGATTTGGTTCAATTCATTGGTCTAGATAAGCTATAATTATTGGTTTTTCTGTCAGGGAATTCTTAGTAACAACCCAAAGGTTAGGAAGTTGGAGGTGTACCAAAAAATTTCATCAAAAACTCTTCATTTTTATTAGTTTCTCAAGACTTTTTTTTTCTTTCAGATAATATTCAAGTTTGGCTTCTTTAATCAAAACTTAGGTTTTAGTTTTCCAACTTAAAGTTATTATCGTACATACTACATATGAACTATAGAGAAGGTCAGAAAGATCTGTTTTACCAAATTTACAATAATTATAACTTAAGAATTAACTGAAGATATACTCAAATTAAATATTACAACTTTGTTTCAGGTGAAAACGTCACGGGACATATGCAAAGAATGCCACGTAGGGTGTCTCAGCTATACGGACACTTGCGTCAAGGTTTTCAAACACGGCCCTAAGAGTTTGAGGTCGTACACTGAAACCGTTAGGTAAGAAATTATCTTTAAGTTTTTATTAATTTCTGTTTATATTCTCCTTCGTTACAACTGTCATGTTCCTTGAAATCGAAATATTCGTTCGTTCTTCTATGTCTTTGCATTCAATGTTAATGTCTATAAATATCAGGGTTTCTCAAAGTTTTTCAATCGAGCTCTCAGGGTAGAATTTTTCAGGGTTTTCAAACGAGATAATATCGGGAGGATTAAATTATATGTTTATTTACGATGTTACATAAGTTAAAATGTTAATTCTATATAATTAACTATGCAAAAATATCATTGATAGTGCAATTAAGCATAAACCGAAAGGGGTTAACTCAAGGGCTAAACTTTGGGAAACCTTAGTAGTCAACATACATATGTACTTCATCTCATCATCATCTCTATATATAAAATAAGGTCGGATTAGTTACACCATTTATAACTAAAGAACGGCTGGACCGATTGTTATGATTTTTGATTTGTTGGTTTTGTCTCTTACCCGAACAGCAGAATAACTGTTGAAACATCGAAAAATTTGCGAAAAAAGGTAATTCTAATTTACATGGCTTACGCTGGCTAATAACTATTTATATCAGTTTATAACGTACCTAGGGACGCACTCAAACGAAGCGAGTCGCTAGTTTATAATATAAACAAAAATTGTAACTGGGTCAGAGTAATACATTAATATATAAAATACATTTTTTGTATTTGAGGGAAAAATTTAATAAAATGTATTCGCAAATAAAAAAATTTTTTCTATATAAAACCACGCATAATTCGAGGACGGGCGGTATTCAATATCTCTAATCTAAAATTATTAATTATGGTAACTACAAAACGGTAAAGCTTATACAAAGTGGAGTTATATACGTTAATTGTTGACAGACTTCAAAAAGGAACGTTTGCACTTCCGTCCATCTATCTGTATATCATTGTATTGAAACTATTGAAGCTATATTACTAAAATAAAAAAAAACTACATTTAACAAAATGCTCTAAATCTATACATATAATAAAATTGTAACTAAGCCGAATCTGTACATTAAATATTTTTATGAAAATCTATTGAAATAGACATTATTATCGATACAGAGGCCGAATCTATAGTTTTTAGAATTTTTGTCTATCTATCTGTCTGTTACCGCATCAAGGAAAAACCACTGGAGGGATTTTGATGAAATTTGGTCTGGTGATAGCTGGTTATCTGGGTCAACATATAGGATACTTCTTACCTCGGGAAAATATCTCATATCTGAGAAAAAATACAAAAACTGCAATTTAAGACTGTACTAATATGTATAACCTAAGAATTTGGTCATCTGAACGCGGACGGAGCCGCGGGCATTGCTAGAATACTATAAAAATTAAGAAACATATTTATTATTAGGTAAAGTGAATTATTAGTATATTCTTATTTGTAGAAGCGAAATTTCTCGAGCGAGTTTAATTCAATGACATTCTATGGGCTTACTCCTGAAAGTCCTGAAACCTTTAATTTTGTTTTTTATTCGAATTCACTTTTGATTCTAACTCGATCTCAAAATATTCAAGTATAATTGTCATTTTTTATGTTATTTTTAATTACAAATGAGGTAATTATCAATGACCTTATAATTAGGTGTTCAATAATTAATTTAAAATTACATCTTAATGTATAATTAATTGATTGACTTCATAAAACAAAAACTGTGTCGCATACTAATTGGTTATTTAAGCTAATAGAAATAATAAAAGACGATATAAACGTAAAAGTATAACGCTATTTAAGACATTTAAAGTAATGTCTGCTTATACTTTTTAGTAACTTAATAAAACTTTTGAAACGAGGAGAGCCAAAGTCAAAATAAATCCGCTGGAAATCCGAAGTATTTTTTTAAAGGACTTTACTTTGACGGCGTTGATTATAGCTAGTTTTTATATTTCTAATTGCAAGTGGATTAGATACATTGTTAAGATGAAAGACCGAATAGAACGTTCTTTCCCTGCACGTGTCTCATTGTTGGTGTCATACAGTGAAATGAAATTATTATTATATTGTCGCAATATTGCTCGAATGGCACCTATACCGCGTTCATTGGCATCGTTCAACGCGCTCTTGGACAACAACGCTCATTGGGACCCATTCAATGATAAGTGGTCAACTTTGGTCTTTGAGTTGCTGAGGTATGCTGAGAATATTGAATAACCCTGTTATTAAACGGGGCTATTCGATATTCTCAGCATACTCTCAGAACCCAAGTAATATTTACTTATGTTTTGTTTGTGTATTTTCTGTTTGTAATAATTTATAATGTATAATCTAGTTAGTGTAAGTGGCGCCGCCGTTCTAATTGGATGTAAAATAAATAAATAAATAAAATAAATTATGATTTTTAAAATAACAAATATCACAACTTGATACACGACTTGGACGGACCCATACAAAGAAAGAAAAGAAAGCAATACCAAAATTTTTTTTCACTAACAACAAAGATTCTCGTCTAGAAATTGAGCAAAAATATAGCGTTCTTTGCGTACGCTCTCCAGAAGTGAGAACATATTATCTATACTAATATTATAAAGAGGTAAAGTTTGTGAATTGTGAGTTTGTGACGTTCTAGGAAGTAATCTGTGGATCTACTTTACCGATTTAGATGAAATTTGGTAAGAAGATAGTTTGAGACCCTGGGAAGGACATAGGATACTTTTTATCCCGGAAATCATCCCTTAAGGGGGTAAAAATGGGGATGAAAGTTTGTATTGGGAAGCAAGCTAGGGACAAACCCGTGCAAAGCGAGGGTGAGTCGCTAGTGGCAAATATATATGTATCCCTTTATTACTTCTACAAAAATGTACTATTTACTATTTCTTATATTTTAACAGATATAGTTACTTACCTTTTCCTTTAAAAAATATTGGTATTGACTAAGTTATATTTAGAGATTATTTGAAAAACTTAATATTAATACTTAATAAAATAAACTATTTCGCTATTACACGTAATAGAGAAAAAAATTGTCCTTTACATAACGTAACTTGGTGATACGTTTTTAAGGATTATTAAAAAAAATCACGAATTGGATGCAAAAATATGTATCAATAAGCTTGTTTTTAATACTTGTTCATACAAAAAATCCTATAGAAAAAATCATTTTCAGTCGTGTCCCAATTTTACAGGAACTTTTTCAATTTTTTTTATCCAAAAATTAAAAACCTTACTCGGACTGTTTGGGATATTTAAATAAAATCCAAATATGTTCAGTTGTTTCGTTTGATTCGTGTACCAACGAATAGCATTTCATTTTTATTTCTTTACATATTTTTTCTATTTATTTTCATTGTGGATTAATTGAACATTTTGTAAACTGTGAGGCGGATGTTTATATTTTTCTGTTATATAACTAGAAATATTTTTTGTAAATATATTTCTGCCTACTACCTCTTGCCAAAGGCTTACAAGTTTGAATTTTGAAATTTGCTTTTATAGATAGCAGATTTCTCATTTCACTATAGGTCAAACTATTTATAAAAAAAAATGCTATTCCATAGTTATAATATAGAAAAGGTAACAGTGAAATCGATACCTGAATTATTTTTTTAAAACCAATTACTGTTACGAATCGGGTACAGAATATAGACCCCTAAACAATAGTTATCGAAATTTTCGTCCATTTGTCTGTATGTCTGTGTGCATTTCATGCAAAAAGTACGGAAGCGATTTCGAACAGAACTATCTAAATTTTGTTACATCTTAAAAAACTCATATTTTGATACCCCACTCGATTGATTCGGACAAAAACATTTTTTTTCAAGACATGTGCTCTACGAGGCACGGAGGTGGTGAAACACCGCCAACTTTTCAACTTTGGACTGTTAATAAGAATTTCTTGACAAAAAAACTCAACAACTAAACATGTTCCGACCTGAGACTCGAACCCAGGAAGTCTGGATCTGCAGCCGTACATGCTATCCTCTAGACCACCAGACACTTATTTATAATCTTATATAACATATTTATGTAACTAGAATAAAAACGATAGTAGCACATTAAAGTGACTATTATTGATAATAATTTGTCGCCTGAAAGGCGGCATTATTATTCAAAGTGTAGAAATGCAAAGATATCTATCTCTATTTGTACCCGAGAACATTACTCATTCGGGCTATATGCATTTATTTAACACTAGCAGAACCCGCGGCTTCGCTCGCGCTAAAACTACAAAAAAATCTCTAAAAAGGTAGTTTCGTACAAACTTTCATCCCCTATTTTACCCCCTTATAGGATGAATTTTGAAAAATGTTTTATTGAAGAGCTGACAGACACACACAGACACACAGACAGATAGACATGGACGTCAAGTAACACGTTTTTGCGTTGGGGGCTAAAAACTAGGGGTAAGGTTCCAAAAATTTGCATAAAGCTGAAAATTTGTACGAATATTTCAAACACCATTATAAATGAAATGTGAATAGTCCCCATCGATTTGACATTCCAGGCACTAAAATGTAAAAAAATACTAAACGGTGTTTTTCATTTAGAATAGATACCTAATCAGATATTTTTGAAGTCGTTGTCGGCTGATGCAAAGCAAATCTAATTATATTTCGATACGTAAAATACATATTTACCTATTAGATATTAAAATATTGTCGGCCGAAAGACCTATCCGCAGAATACCTTTTTATAGAAAAATTAAATTAGCAATTAAATGTAACTTTACATATATCAATTAATCTAGACTAAGTTCTCTTTTATAATTTAAGCGATGTTTTTAACTTCCAAAAACGTTAAAAGTTTAGCCAGTATTATTTTTTTTTATTTGAAAGTCTACACTCGCGCTGTGTTACCGCACGCGAACCACTGACTAGGATTAATAGTGTATTTGATCAATGGGATCCTATAACATGCTTTTTTATTATAAATATTGCAAGAATTTCTCTAAAACGAGAAAATAACAAAAAAATGAGGTTACTCAAGAATTTAAAGAAAACGTCTGTGTACGATTAAGTCTTAAGTAGAATAGGGTATTTTTTCAATAGGGCATTTTCAGACTAATACATAACGGGAATAGGTCCATTTAAGACTATGGGTTATTTTACCACCCCAAAACATTCTTTATACATATTTTCCGTAAGTTTTTGTTTCTTAAAAGTAAACATGCGTACGTAAACAATAAGAAAACATGCACAATAGTATATATGTCAAATTCTTACTTGTTTACAGGCACTTCGTTGATTACGCCATGGCCGGAGTTTGCCTCGGAGGGACCAGCGTTTACGTTATATTCATCGCTTCTTCTTTGAAAAATGTAAGCTAACCTTTTCTGTAACCAAACAAATTTAATTTTAATTTAAACAGTAAAATTAGAATTTAAATGAAGGTATAGTCTCCTTATAAGCACTTTGAAATTATTTTGATTAAATTTTATGTAGCTAAGTTTTGTGACTATATAAAATAAAATCAAATAAAATCTTTGTCTATAAAAATACAGTTGTTTGAAGGAAAAAATTAATAATGGAGGTTGAAAATGATATTAAAGCTGTACTCTAAAAATAACTTTTAAAAATTATTATAAAATTATGACAAGAATCGAGGCAGTAGTAGCCCAGTGGTAACGTCCTCGCTTGGGAAACCGAGTGAAGCGGGTCTCACACCTCTGATATTTTTATGTGCTAATCATTGCTGACATGATAACCACTTGCCTTACGGTGAAGGAAAACATCTTGAGGAAACCCGCGTATCTCAGAAAACCTAGTAAGATTACTCTGCCAACCCGCACTTGGCCAGCTGGGTAGACTATGGCCTGGTCCTCCTGGTATTAAAGGGAGGCCCGTGCCCAGCAGTGGGACGTTAAAAAGAGCTGAATATAATAACAAGAAACGATTAAATATCATTATTGTTGGCTTATTCTATCTATGTACTACAGTCAACTAAAATAAAAAGGTAAACTGTGTTTTTATCATACGCCTGTCAGAAATATTATAGATACATAATATTATGTTTAAGTTTTTAATAACTGCTTTTTCCCGCGGTTCCACCCGCGTGGTACATATGTGTATAATGTACTTATTGTAGAAATAGTACAACGCAAATTATACATGAATACGATTAAATCAAGCAAAAATATATTAATGACCAACTAACTTCGGCCACGGCTTCCAGTCTCATTAAGACTAGCCATCTGCGCAGAAGATATTATAGTGCACAAATACACGCGCAGCCACAAGTGTACGTATATATATGTATATATACTAATATGTAAAACCTAAGAATTTGGTTTTTGGTCATCAGAACGCGGGCGGAGCCGCGGGCAATGCTAGTACTTCATAGTTTGTTCTAATTTGTTCGAAAGGTATAATAACTTTTGTGACAGCCAACAACCCGCCATATTACTACATATATGTATATTAGTTTAGTACTTGTAATTACATATATTTTAATTTTAAACTTGCGTCACACGATGACACTGGTGTATAATTTATGGAAAGAGGCCACTAAATATACAATACAACGAGTATCATTAAACATTATTATTGTTATATTTATCATGTATCAACAGACATAACATGAGAATCATGATATTAAATAATCATTTAAGATCGTATGAAAGCGACACCTGTTCGCGTACCGAGGGTTCCATACTAATAAACATTATAATGTACTTAAGTTATTTGGGTTAAAGTAAAATCAACACAAATATGCAGTGGTAGCACAATGGTAACGCGATCGCTTGGGAAACCGAGTGAAGCGGGTTCAAATCCCAGGTCTCGTAGCTCTGATGTTTTCACGTGCGAATCATTTCCGACATGATTACCACTTGTCGATCTTACGGTGAAGGAACGCAACGTGAGAAAACCTGCATTTCTAAGAGAAATTAGCAACTTTTCGAATGAAATGTGACGTTCTCCAACCCGCACTTGGCCAGCGTGGTGGACTATGGCCTAGTCAGTCATTGTATTGAAGCGACAGCAGTGGACGTTAAAAAGGGTTGAATATTAAAAGTAAAATAAAATATTTACGCATTAAAAGCCCACTTCACTACAACAAACTCGAACAATATCCGCAGCAAAAATAATTTTGTATTTTAAAGTGTTTTATAATAATACCTATTATGAAAAACAAACTCAATTTTGCGGCCGCTAGTTTAAGCTATCAATTAAGCGTGTAATCGAAAATGTTACAAAAACTTCTCAACGTGATCCCTTTAAAATAATTTTCATTGAAGATTTTTTGGAAGCATTATTTTCACGGAATGTAAAAAACAATTTTTTTTAACCGACTTCCTCAATAGGGAGGAGGTTTTCAATTCGGCTGTGTGTTTTTTTCGTATGTTTGTTACCTCAGAACTCCGTCATTTATTAACCGATTTAGACAATTTTAGTTTTGTTTCAAAAAATGGCTAGTGATAAATTTAACGTACTTATAATTGTCATATTGACTTGAAACTTTGCAAGCGTATCTATTCCCGTTGATAGTGCAGTGTTTCAGTATTGTTGACCTGATCTGATGGTAAGGCCAAAAGGTGGATAGGTGGAACTCTTAAACAGCTAATAGTAGATACTTTGAGTTTGGGTTTATTTTATTTGATTTGACAAGCCTAACACTTTAGACGGACTTTAGATCCAGAATTTTTTAATATTAGTAATAAAAGCGAATTTTAGTTTGTAAGTCTTCGTATGAAAATTGGCATCAAAGTAACTTAAAAGGTTTTAGCCAATATTTTATTAAAATACTTTCTTCTTACTTTGCTACTACTATATCTACACTAAAAAGGGTAAAATAAAAACTTTTTAACAAAAAAATAAAAACCGACTGCAAAAAAAAGCACTAAAAATTAAAAAATAACTGATTGGTAATTTCATTTACTATACATACCTAATCAAATATTTTCGAAGTTTTTATTTAGTCTTCTTTTATGAATTTTTTTTTTGAAATTACCTCGGAAGTGGGATGACACCATAACGCTGATATTTTTTGTTATATCGTCATGCTAGTTTTATCGATGGGTGTCTAAAGCCAGCTTATATAGAAAAAAATTTCAAGCACTTTAATATTTAAAACGAAAAGGCAAATCTAAGTTATAATATCGATTGTAACAAATCTGTCAATGAAAGTTTTGTTACAATCGATAAGGCGTCTCGCTCAGTGGCTATAAGCTCTAACATAAAAGTACACATAACTAAAATATGAATTTAATAACTATTCAAAATATATATTTAATGTTTTAAATTTGTGAGTTTGTGACGTTATAGGGGGTAATCTGTGGATCTACAATACCGATTTAGATGAAATTTGGTAAGAAAATAGTTTGGAATCCTGGGAAGGCCATAGGATACTTTTTATCCCGGAAATCATCCCTTAAGGGGGTGAAAATGGCGATGAAAGTTTGTATGTGGGAAAAAAGCTAGGGGCAAACCCGAGCGAAGCTAGGGTGAGTTTAATATATAGATATCAAATAAGAATATACTTACAAAATTACAACACGTTTTCTTAGACATTTCAAAAAACACCTCAGCTCTTAAAACACGTAAAATATTTATTTTGCATGAGATCGTGCTCTACTGTCCGATGCTAGCGCGGTCACTGACACATATTATGTATGTATTATAATATGCAAAATTTAACTTTATCACTTTATAATATGATTCAAAATTAAATGTATTTGCAGAATTAAACGATTTATCAGAAATAATGTATGCGTTGCGTTGCTCGGGATAAAGGATAGCTAATAATATTTCTATTTATAGTGATATTTTTTAACGTTCATTAGTTCTCATCGTTCGTTCATTCAATCGTGATGATACAAAGTATTTATGCTAAAGAGGTATGTAGGTATATGCTTTAAAACTCAATTGTAGTTTGAAAGATAAATGTAAATTTTATTAAGTAATAGAAATACATAATAATTATATTTCTTTGTTTTGAGAGATTTAAAAGGTTATTTATATACTAATATTGTAATGATTATGGGTGACTGTGAATATAGGTCGTATGACGTCTTCCTGGAATTACTGATTCGAATGTGAAAAATCTTTCAACTTTCACTCTTATTACCTATACTGCCAACTGCCTAGGAGATGTTATAGTGCACAAGTGTACAAGCAAACACAAAATATGCACTCTCTTATCCTCTTTCTATAAAGGTCCGATAGGATAATATTTCGATCACACGATCGGTAAATGTTAAGACACAGGACAGACGGCTTTTCGCACTCTCAACAACACAGTAACACTGCCAAGTTCCCAACTCTGGGCTTCTACTAAAGATATCTTATTACAAAAACTATGAAAATAATTAAACTTGGCCCGACCCGGTGCTCGAACCTAGGACCTCCAGATCTGCAGCCCTACATGATAGCCACTAGACTACAGAGGCAGCTAAAGAAACAATTATTTACCATATTAGTTATTACTACTAATAAGCATTCTATCAAGAAGATTATTTATTATTTTGCATGGAAGAAATTAAATTGAAAAGAAATGATAATAAGGTTAAGGCAGCCCAAAGATGCTTGATTATTATAATCATTATAATAAGCAAGATTACATAATACAATGTATACATAGTATTATGTACTCGTGCATAATGTAGGAATAGAAGAACAATTTGTTATTTGAAACGGAACAGAAATTTTGAAATTACTTGAAATAAAACAACTTGGATATTACAGGCTTACGCTTTAGATTTCAAAACACGTACATATGCGTTATAACCTTATTATATATGCAAGCATTATAAATACCGGGTAATTTAACCTTTGCACAGATTCTGCAAAATTTAAGTGACTTATACGACTTCAGCTTTATTTATTTGAACGTTTAAATGGAGTCTGCTCTTGAAAAAATTGCTCTAATTGTAAGAAAATCCAAAGAGGGTCAACCTGAAATAATAAAATTATCTTTATAACATTCCGGTTTTTTGTTAAAAAAAATATTTATTGTTGATTTTTTTTAAAACCGCTCGACCAATTTCGATAAATTTTAAATGGGACCACCTGTGAAGTATACCCTTCGAAATAAAAAAATATCCAAATCCGTTTACGCCTCCTCCATTTTGGAAGTCGGTTAAAAAGTACAATTGAATAGAACAAATATTTAATAGTATAGCCTTTAAATGTTCCTCAATTAACGAGCTAAATTAAAAGTAATCTACCAAATCAGATAGATATTTCCTGAATTAACATGTACTAAAATAAGAAACAAAGGCTCTTTAGCTATAAAATATTAGCATTGATAAATTAGCAGAGATATTATAGAATATTTAATAAATGCAGTAACAGTAATTGTACTAAAAAGACTAAATAATACGATTATTAATTATACGTATAATATCACAGGCAGTTGCAGTTAAAGAAAATGTTTTTCATTTATATTATTCTCTGATTTAAATCAATTCGGAGTAGCACAGACAGTGTAGCAAAGTTTTCAGACGTAAATTATATAGCTACTGAATTAAGCTTAGAAGGATTAATTGGCTAACTTTCGTTAATACTGACAGATATTGATAAATAGCTCATATTTTTTACCGTTATGATATGGTAAATCTCGGGTTTTTCTGGAAAATGTTAAGAATGGCTTAAGTTTGGTATTTTACAGTAACATAAACACAATATACAACTAGTGCAGCCCTCAAGGGTTACTATACTAACATGATTTACTTCGCTGGATACGAATATACTTAAATCAATCTGAGGTATATTCATTGTTGAATATATTTTTTTATCTCTTATTCAATTCAATATTTTGTTTCATAGCTTTACATACATACAGGATATACTATATGTATGTACGTTATTATTTAATATCATGCAACTGCCTTGGTGGTGTAGTGGCTAGCATGTACGGCTGCACACCTGGAGGTCCTGGGTTCGAGTCCCGGGTCGGGCCAAGTTTAGTTATTGACTCTTTCTGTAAAGTAAGCCTCAGTAACAGCCCGGAGTTGGGAAGTTGGCGGTGTTTTACCCCCGTGCCTCGGAGAGCACGTAAAGCCGTCGGTCCTGCGCCTTAACTCTCACTGGTCGTGTCGAGCAGTCGTCCCACCGGAGTATGAGAGTGACAGGAACAGACAGTGCACCTGTGTCTGCGCGTACACTTGTGCACTATAATATGTCCTGTGCAGTTGGCTCGTCTCAACAAGATTGGCCGCCGTGACCGGAATCGGTCAGGAGAACATCATTATTTAATGAGTATCCACTCTAAAAATATGCGCGACATCTATTTCCTCTGTTAGCGTTGTTAATCTTCTCCTTCTCTTTCAGATCTGCGACCATTTCTTCCCTGAAAATAAATACGCTGTAGAAGTGTATTGTGCTGCTTTATTACTGCCACTGATTCTTTTCACGCAAGTTAGACACCTAAAGTTCCTAGTACCCTTCTCGTTATTTGCCAATTTGTGCCTGCTCCTGACATTCGCTGTGACGTGCTATTACACTTTCGTTGATATACCAGAAATGTCGAGTGTGAAACTTGTTACAAATGTGGGACAATGGCCATTATTTATCAGGTAAGTAAGCAAAATTTTAAGATATACGGTTTACACGACTTATAAAAAATGTATACTTATAAATATAATTGGTGTATGTATACATATAAATATAGTTATATCTTATAATTATATTACACTTATAAGCCTAATATAATATAAAAAAAAAATATGTTAGGACATTACACACAGCACCATCTAGTTTCATGATAAGCTACGAGGCCTGTGTTATATATACCAGATAGTTTATAAACTAAACACATATATAACTTTAAATACATACATATTATAAATATAAACACCCATGACTGGAATACAAACATTCGTGCTCATCACACAAATAAATGCCCCCAGCGGGATTCGAAACCGCGACCGTTGGCACAGCTAGTAGGATCACTACAAACTGAGCCAAAGGTGTCAAATACGCCAATATTAATCTAATATCAGACTTTTATGGTAGCGAGGTAATATATTGTACCTATAATTTTATTGATTCTTCAGAGATACACGATTTTAGCGAGAAGGACCACGTATTACTTTTATTCTGTACAGATAAATGATTCCCACGAGATAAAAGTTAGAGGAATAACGGGTTAATATGATTTTCATTGATATTCCCGTAGCCTCGCTGTAAACGGGGTATAATATTTACCGGCAATTTATTTTTGATTTAATCTGCCAAAACTGTGGGATTCCCTGGAACAAGATAAGCCGGTTCTTTATAAGGTCTACCCTCTTTAAGCCGTTCCGTCGTTTGTAAGTGTTGAATTATTTAAAGTCGTTTAGGATTTTGGTCATATGTAAGTCTTATATAATATAAGTAATATTTAAATATCAATAAATGACCAATATTATTGCTGGTACGTTTTTAATTTACATTTGTATGTATTTATATTTTAGCTTAGTTAACTAAGTTTGTACGGTCTAATTATCACGTCATGCTTATGAGATAAAAATAGTGTTCGCCTAGTGATCAAAATTGAAGCATAAACATTATTGAAAATTTGTATGAGAATGGTTCGCCTCTAGATAAGCAAAGACAAATCTATCCCACGGGAACTGTACATTTTTCCGGGATAAATAGTAGCCTATGTGTCATTCTGATGTATAAGCTATATTATTATAAAGTTTCATTAAAATACATTCAGTAGATTTTGCGTGAAACAGTAACACACATCCGTATATCTATACATCTTCACAAATTTTCGCATTTATAATATTAAGTATAGAAAGAATTTACCTATCTATATAAAAAGTTAACTGTTACCATTTTTTTTGATTAGATTAAATATCGTCAATACTACTAAAAAAAATAGTTGACAAACAGAGTAAAAAAGGCACTGAAGTGTTTTGTCTTTGCCTATTTATCATTTATCATTACATATTCGTCAATTCGTAACGCAGTTTCCAGTCTAGATGAAATAATTTTCAGTAATTTATAATTAATAGTACATATTATAATATACTGATAATAGGGGTATTAGTTTGTAAAGAAATGGTTGCTATATAAATTATTTCTTCGCTACGAGGCTTGTGTTATGTATACCAGATAGTTGATACACTACACATATATTACTTTAAATACATGGCTTGAGTACAAACATTCAACAAACAGCGGGACTCGAGCCCGCGACCGCTGGCACAGCAAGTAAGGTAAGGGTCACTAAAAACTGAGCCTAACGTCATTGACTACACATGAAGTGGTTGCCGTAATTAAGATTCTGTCACGATACAGAATGACAATATAAACCAATATTTGTCAATTTCTATTTCCAGTACAGCCATCTTCGCAATGGAAGGAATCAACGTGGTAATGCCAGTTGAAAATGAAATGTCCAATCCAAACCACTTCTTGGGATGTCCAGGAGTTTTAAACATTACTATGGGATTAGTGGCCACTTTGTACGCAATAGTCGGTCTTTTTGGCTACTTGAAGTATGGAGAGGATGTGCTAGGCAGTATTACTTTGAATCTACCCGAAGATGAAGTGTGAGTACGTATAAGTATACGTGTTATAAGTATAAGTTTAAAAAAAAGTTGTTACATAACTTTCATTATTGTCAGTCATCTCTTTTCACCCAAAAGAGTTCATATCATATCATCATAGTATAACCTGTTGTTGGTCTGTTTGGTTAAAATGAGGAATACATTACATAGTAATTAATCATTTGTTATTTTTTTTTTTACAATTATTCAAAAATAAAACAAAGTGCTCACAAATTAGTTACTTTTAAATCTCATTGCAACACTAAACAAAAATTATAAGGAAGACCTCAAACAATTTGGATGACAAATGTCCAAAAGAATATAGTACGACTTAACCTCAAAGTTGATGATACGAGCCAACGATCTACATGGCGACGCATGATAAGAAAAGCCGACCCCGATTAAAGAGACAGGGCGAGGAAAAAGAAGAATTGCAAGCGCCACTTAAAGACATAAGCTATTATTTTAGAAACAGTACGATAGATATATTACGTATTTCTAATATGTCAATAAATCTGAATCTCTCGCATTTTATCATCTGGATATTCTTGGACCTAATCTATTTAGCTAGTTAGATGTAGTTACCTAGTGGCTTTGTTATTTATTTATTGAATCAAATCTATTTAGCAATAAATTACAGACGGATTTTAACAATTTTCTTACATTACATACAAGATTACAAGTATATTATCATATATAGAAACGCCCATATTTTGAACCAAAATCTAATAATATTGTCATTTGAAATAGGTTTTACTACAAAAATTAATAAATTGATTTAAAATATATTTTAGTAAATAAAATAGATTGTACGCAGTGTTTCTTTGACATTAATAAATACGTATGTATATGATGTAATAACCATTGAAAACTCCCACGAGATAATTAACTGTAGATTGTTCTGAGCTAAAATCGGACATGTTCTCCGAACATATGCATAGAAAATGAATTCATTGTTAGGCGAAATATTCCTTTGGAATACTTATTACTGGGTTAGTTGTAAAGTTAATATGAAAACCCCTTATCTATATTTACACTAATATTTAAATAAAGTTTGTAAGTTTGTTAGTTGGGGTATAGGGGTAGCCCCCCCAATGTGCGTTCACCTTGTCGTGGTGGGGGGGCTCAGTAGTAGTAGCGAAGCTAAGAAACGCACAGGGAGGTTGCCCACTTCGGTGGGCGGTGGGAGGTGGCCCTCTTCGGGGGGGCGGTGTACCTTGCGGGTTGCTCCTGGTACTTCTCTGATAGCAGAGTGGACCTTGGAGCAACCCCATGGTTGTGGTGGTCTGCTTCGGCAGACCTGCCGTCGGGGCGTCGTAGTTGAATGCGTAAGCGATCCTGCGACGCCCCATTAAGACGGGGGAAGGTTTTGTTGGGTTTTAGTGGGTAGTACTGGCTGTATTACGCCGGTGAGTCCCACACGTCGTGCGTAAATGCATTTCCCAACGTTAAAAAAAAAAAAAAAATAGGGGTAGTAATCTCTCCACATGTCGTATATGTACATTATAAAGCTATGTACAAGCAATATTTGTATAATTATTTCGACGTTTTATTGAAAAAATACCAACATTTTTTTTTCCGAATTATATTTAATCGCTAATAGTGTATGAATTTAGTCTACGAATATCTATAACATCTATCGCGCTTGAATTCCTTGAAAATTATTTAAGAATTAATTAATTCTATTTATATTCATTTGTTGGAATATTTAGATATTCTGTAATTGAAATGCCTGCCAAGCTATTTAGGTATTTGACAATTTGAATTTTCTTATACACATTTAGATGTATATTGTAGGTACTTAATGCCAATTAATGTAGAAATTGGCCGTAATTAATTTATTTATATATTTTTCTTTATGAAATATATACTTTAAACGGTTATAGCGAGTAACGTGAGCGTGTATATATTGAGATCGTGCAGAGCGTACATTATGAAAATCGGGTGAGAAGTGAGACACTCCCCACTCTTATATGTACTGATATAAGCCATCCGAAAGACGACTTTAGGGTTGACAAATATAGCTGTAACTTGCCCCAAGCTGTAACTACAGTACCTTGACACAGTTCTGCTTTTTACAACCCTTGCAAGTGGCGGGATTTCCGTTAATCAAAGGCGACTTCCGACTCTCCAAAACTCCATAATTTGTATACTGTGCTTATATTTTCCAATTCGCTAGCGTTAATAAGCTGTATGCTTATAACATAACTATCATATCGCTTCGCCTTAACCTGACCAGAACATTTTTATAGGGTATCTGTATAGTCTGTGCCCATACCGGAATCGAAGCTGCAATATCCAACAAAACCATTATTACTACTTAAAAATATCCTTCATCGCCACGGCGACCTTGTTCTCACTTCGAAAGTACCTACATATTTCTATTCCACGTGTTTAAGTCTTTGATGTGCTATAGATAAGTACATAAAGCTCGTAGTTTTATCTGTTTGAATTTATTTATTCAGCATTTATATTTCCTTTTTAGTATCTAATGTGTGAATACGCTTTGAGTAATATTTCTATATTAAAAGCTTCATCTATACATATATAATAAAATTCTGAGTCGAAATTGTACATTAAATATTTTTTGGAAAACCTTATTGGAAAAGTCATTATTATCGATATAGAGGCCGAATCTACAGGCTTTAAATTTTTTGTCTGTCTGTCTAGGAACGCATTACGAAAAAACACAGACTTTTGATGAAATTTGATATGATGATAGCTGGTTATCCGGGTCAACATATAGTATACTTTATATTGGGGGAAAATATCTCATCTCTTATAAATCTATACCTACTAAACGTTAAAACGTAACTAGGGACAAAGCGGAGCGAGGGTGAGTCGATAGTCTTACTACAAAGGACTTCGGTATTGTTTGAAGCATGAATAAAAATATTTATTTTACTTTTAAATAAAAAGATAATAATAGGTTTGTTAAACTTATTATTTCGTTGCTTAACAGTATTTACACCTGTATAATTGATTTAATTTTGCTTCCTTAGTATTTATATTATAAAAGAGCTTTTAGCAAATGCACAATGATCTCTAAAAATCAAAATACAAATCTACACTAGAGTGATTTATTAATATCTGTCACAAAACGTGCTTAAAGAACATTGAGTTAATCTAGTACAAAACCGTTTCAGTTTAAGCTGTACTTCGTTAAATGATCGAGCAGTAAAACGATAATGATCAGGCTTCAGTATAACTGAATAGTCTTTTAATAGCATACTTTACAACAACTACCTAGGTACTTTATAAATACGCCATATCTCTTTATTGTAAAAATATAATTTGCAAATATATTATGACTCTTACAAAATACTATTAGTAGGAGATCCCGATCTATGTGGTGGACCCCTCACTCTTTTTCCAGACGAAATATATTATTTAAACCATATAACATATTAACAAACAAGACCCTGGGGGCTTGTCAGCAAACGTTTGCTCCAGGCTATATTTTATTAAAAAACTCTAATCTGGGAGATGTTTTGGTATGACAACCCAATATGTGACGTGGGTAGGTTATCTAATGTCACTATGCAATTGTCTCCCAACTCATTCGAACTAACCGTCTTAGACATTTCTCCCCCGCCGCTGGGAAAGCGTCTCGTAAAAGGCGAGTAACCCATGCTAGTATGGTGGTAGAGGGCACCGCTCTCGTCTGGCTCGCGACCACTATCATGTCGTATTCGATTGCCAAATGTCCTCGGACGTGTTCCAGTCGTAGACATGTAAGCCAGCCCCCTTTTCCCAAATTCTGTTGATCTCGGCGACCTCAGGACCGGTATTTTGGTGAAGTTCGTCCCTTCTATTCAGGCGTGTTATGTTGGCATGGGGTCCAGGGAGACCCGATGAAACGGTGTACCGCTGGCCGCCCGTTGGTTCGTAGGGGACCCGAACCCAAACTTATCCCGGTTTGGGAGGCTGTCCCGCCACCAATGTTAAAAGCCCGTGCGTTGGTCGCAGTGCCGGAGTGGGAGACCGGTGTGGAACACGGCGATCAGTGTCGGGTTGGATCGGGGGCCCTTCCGTCCCCCATGCCAGCAAGACACACAGCCTGGGTGGTCTGGATAGACACAAACCTAAATGCTACATTTGTCCTGGGGGCGCCGAAATCTCAGAATTCCTCATTCTTCTCCTTTTTAGACACTCTCATGGTTGCAACAAAAGTAAGAAACGTTTGCACAGCGGCCACCCTTTCCACGTTTAACGTGGACCTCTGCAATATAAGGGGACTACATTCTAACCTCATTGCTGTCCATCACCATCTCGAGACAGCTAAGCCGGCCTTACTTTTTTTAACGGAGACGCAGATATCCTCTCCTGTCGATACATCGTATTTAAAATATCCCGGTTACAGCTTGAAGCATGTCTTTCTGCCTAAAGCAGGGGTTTGTATGTTCGTCAGGGAAGATATCTGCTGTCGCCGTCTGAGCAACCTTGAAGACAAGGACCTGTCAATTTTATGGTCACGAATAGAATATGGGGGATATACCCGAATCTATGCGTGTATCTACAGGTCCCATAGTGGGAACGCTGAAATAGACCGACTCTTTAGACACGTCGAAGAAGCGACAGATTTCCTGCTCCAGCGTTATCCTTGCGCGGAGGTTGTGATCCTCGGGGATTTTAATGCCCACCACGTTGACTGGTTAGGATCTCGGACCATAGACTACGCAGGGCGAATTGCCTTCAATTTTGCGCTGACGTATGGCTTCTCACAGTTGGTACCTGAACCCACCAGAGTACCGGATGTCGAATACCATGCGCCGTCTCTGCTTGATCTTCTCTTGACCACGTGCCCAGATAACTACCAGGTGTACGTCGACGCCCCCCTGGGTTCTTCTGACCATTGCCTGGTACGCTCGAAGGTGTCCATATCCACCTACTGCCGCCCAAGTGGGACGCGGCGAGTATGGCACTACAAATCAGCTGATTGGGATGGTTTGCGCGAATTTTTCGCATCCTACCCATGGAAGCGCATCTGCTTTTCATCGGATGATCCCTCGTATTGCGCGGATACCGTTGCGGATACGATTTTACAGGGAATGGAATGCTTCATTCCCAGTTCTACCGTCCGTATCGGCGGTCAATCGCAACCTTGGTACGATGCACCCTGTGCTAGAGCTTCTAGCGAGAAGCAGGAATCCTATCGAGCCTGGGTTGCTGCCCGCACAGCGAAGGATCCTAACGTCACCGATCTCAAAAAGAAATTTAATGCTGCTTCTAGATCATGCAAGACACTAATGGCCAGGGCAAGAGACGATCATATTCGCAGCATTGGCGAGAGACTTCTAAGCCTTCCATCTGGATCGCGTGCTTTTTGGGCTCTCGCCAAAGCTGCGGAAGGAAATTTCTGTCGATCATCCATACCAACTCTGTGCAAACCGGATAGCACGCTGGCACATTCTGCAAAAGAGAAAGCAGATCTCCTGTGCTCTTTTTTTGCTTCAAATTCAACTCTTGACGACGGGGGATTATCGCCGCCTACCATCTCGCAGTGTGATAGCATGATGCCCGAAGTACGCTTCACGCAACGTGAAGTGCGTCGAGCACTTATCTCCCTAGACGTCAAGAAGTCCAGCGGGCCTGATGGTATTCCGGCCATTGTACTCAAAACGTGTGCCCCAGAGTTGACACCGGTCTTAACCCGCCTGTTCACTCAACTCTACTCCGTTAGCCAAGTCCCGTCTTCTTGGAAGGTTGCCATTGTTCACTCTATTCCCAAAAAGGGTGACCGCACAGACCCGTCCAATTACCGGCCCATTGCGATAACCTCTATACTCTCTAAGGTGATGGAGCGCGTGATTAATACTAGGCTCCTAGTATACCTAGAAGAGAACCAGCTCATTAATGACCGACAATACGGATTTCGACAGGGTCGTAGTACTGGTGATCTTCTAGCGTATCTAACTCACCGTTGGGCAACTGCTATTGAGAGTAAGGGGGAGGCGTTAGCACTTAGCCTTGATATCGCAAAGGCCTTCGATCGGGTCTGGCATAAGGCACTTCTATCGAAGCTGCCATCATATGGACTTTCCGAGAGATTATGCCAATGGGTCGCTAGCTTTCTTTCTGGACGTAGCATAAAAGTTGTCATTGACGGTATATGCTCCGACACTGTTCAGATCAACGCTGGCGTACCCCAAGGCTCAGTGCTATCGCCTACACTGTTTATTCTGCATATCAACGATATGTTGTTAACTAACAACGCTCATTGCTATGCAGATGACAGTACAGTCGATGCCTATTATACTGGCCGAGCTAGCATCTCTCGGGCTAAGGTTGAGGAGAACAGAGTCCAACTTGTGTCTGAAATCGAGACTTCCCTAGAGCAGATCTCCGATTGAGGCCGACGAAATCTCGTCCAGTTTAACCCCTCAAAGACACAAGTTTGTGCGTTCTCGACGAAAAAAACCCCATTCACTATAGCGCCAAAGTTCCAGAACACTTCTCTTAACATCTGTAAGAGTATCGGGATCCTAGGGGTTGAAATATCGAGCGACGTCCAATTTAGATGTCATCTGGAAGAAAAAGCCAAATTGGCTTCCAAAAAAATGGGTGTCCTTAACAGAGCGAAACAGTATTTCACGTCAGGGCATCGACTTTTGCTTTATAAAGCACAGGTTCGCCCTCTCATGGAGTACTGTTCTCATCTCTGGGCCGGCGCCCCCCAATACCAGCTTCTTCCATTTGACTCTATCCAACGCCGGGCAGTTCGTATTATCAACGATCCCGTACTCACAGACGATTTAGACACTCTAAGCCTTCGGAGAGATGTTGGCTCTCTGTGTGTCTTCTATCGTCTATACAATGGAGAGTGTTCTGATGAACTTTTTGACATGGTGCCACCGTCGCGCTTCTATCATCGCACCCTTCGCCGTCGGGTAGGATGTCATCCACACATTTTAGATGCTTGGCATTCTACAAATGTACGTGCATCTCGATCTTTTTTACCCCGCACGTGCAAGATGTGGAATGATCTTCCTCCCGAGGTATTCCCTGAGCGCTATAATATGGGGCTCTTCAAGAGTAATGTCTATAGGTCCCTTAAAGGCCGGCAACGCATTCGCAACTCCTCTTGTGTTGCAGATGTCCATGAGCGACGATAGCCACTTACCATCAGGTGGATCGTTTGCTCGTTTGCCCCTTTTTTCTATAAAAAAAAAAGACAATTGTTTACAAATAGACATTTTATAGTGTATAGAAATGAGTTTAAGCGTTATGTTAGAGAATAATAATATGACATTCCCATATATATTTTTTAGATTTCTGTTCATCAACGATTGTAGAATTGCAACCTGTTTAAGCTCCTAGTATAAAATTCTCGATTACCATATTCAATTTTTGAAACATCGCCAATAGTTGGGAACTCCGGGCTGGCACTTTCTTTAACAGAAAGATTGAATACCTAAACTTGTGCCATCCCGGGACTCGAACCCAGGATCTCCGGATCTGCAACCGTACATATTAGCCACTACACCACCGAGGCTGTTAGAGGCAACTATAGATATTATCGTAGTTTCTAAAATATAAAGCGAAAGAGCTTGTTTTAATGCTAGAACTACCAGTCCGATTAAAAATTATATTGAGAATGTTATAGCTGTTTTATCACGCTATAACTATTAAGCTAGGTGTGCACTATGCATTTTTGCCGCGCGGTGAAAAATCGCAGCCACATATGACGCACCGCAGTATTTTAGCAACGAGTTTTCAAGCATTATTGCAAACGCGCAAGTTAGAAATGGCATTTTGTGAAAGACGCACACACGACGCACGGAATTTTGAAAGTGCATATCTAGCATTAGAAACTGAGTAATTACACAGAAATAAACTGAGTGGAGGCGCGGGCAACGTTAGTATTATGCAAGTTTTAACTGAATTAAATATCTTTTTGTTCACAGTCTAGCATTAACTACCAAAATCTTAGTGGCCGTAGCAGTTTTCTTCACATATTTTCTGCAAATGTATGCACCCATGGATATTATGTGGACACGAATAAAGGGCAGAGTCAGTCAGAGATTCCAAAATGAAGGACAGATTTTGATGAGATCTTTGAGCGTTTTGCTCACAGGTAATTTTGTTTTTTTTGAATCGGTTTTAATTAAAGCATGATAACAAGTAACGGTAGATTTTTATGGCCTACATATAAGTCAGCTTTTGTACTATAACGTAAGTAAAATTATTGTTTCATAAAAAGGGTGTTTGGCAAGGGTTTGCCACGGTGTTAATTGTCTGGCATTGAATGACGTGATTTTTAATAATATTCTGAAGGTAATACCAAAAAATCACACTTATTATTTGACGAATCTAGATCGGTATTTTACACACCTTTAGTACCGTGTACCTGCCAAAGCCACGATAGCCTAAACTTCATAATTGTCCATCGTTCTTATCTGTGTTGGGAGCATGCGCTGACAAACTTTCAGCCTTTATAAAATGACGAAGGTCTGGCGTTCACGGGCTCTTGCTCTATTAAGTATGATGCAAGTCTATGAAATGCCGCCAGCAAACATACAAAATATAGCAAAAAAATCTAAAATAAAGTATAGAAAAAACTTTTTTGTTCGTTTTTTAAAAGAAAATTATTCTTTTTTAATTAGTTTGCCCGTAAATAAAACGCTATCTATTAACATTTATTGATTTTTAATGTTTTCTCTGTACCTGAGACCTCAAGTTAGTCTTTAATGCGTTAAAATTAATGTACGATATTTATTTTTCAGTTATATTAGCTGTAGCAGTGCCGGACTTAGAGCTTTTGATTGGTCTAGTGGGCGCCATTTTCTTCTCAACACTAGGCTTGTTCATACCAGTCATAGTACAAACTGTTCACAGATGGGAAAGGGGTCTGGGGAAATGTTCCTATATTTTATGGAAAAACATCATTTTGATATTTTTCTATCTAGTTGTTTTAGTATCTGGTTGTTATTCTTCGATTACATCTATAATATCTCGATTTACTTAATTTCAAGTTATGTAAATATTATGACTCTATTGTTATGAAGAGATAAAAGTTTATATATGTAGGTGATAATTTCTGGAATTAGTGACAGAGTAAAAAACTAAAAAAAAAATTTTTGAAAATAAATTATTTTTCAATATTTTCATACCACACATGCGGATGAGATGGCCGTGTCAACTCATTTATGTATGATTTTCAACGCCAATAAACTATAAAAAGGATTTTTTTTATTGCATTTTTTAATTATATATAGCTACTAGCGACTTACACTCGCTTTGCTCAGTTGCGTCCCTAATTACGTTTTTTTTTGAACGAAACCTTAATTTTTTTAAATAAAAGTAGCCTAAGTTACTCTTTATAACATCAGCTATTTGGCTGTGAAAGTCCCGTCAAAATCAATCCACCCGTTTCGGAGATGAACCGAAACAGACAGACAGACAAAAAAATTCAAAATTGTGTTTTACTTATGAGTACCGTATATAATAATTTCATATACAATTAGTAAAAAGCTTTTATTTAGACATTACAAGCCGACACATCAATTTTATTTATCTGTATAGATAATAGTTATTGGCCAGAACTCCACTAAAGTGTGTAGTGAAAAATAAATTAGCGACCCATCCTTTGTTCAGTGTTAAAGGACTCACGGGTCTTTTAGTAACTGTTTACGAAATAATAGTAAAATCCCGCGGAAATCAATTGATATGCCGGGATAAAAGCTTACATGATTTATGATGTATTTTAAGTTTTTCAGAATTAGTCCACTAGTTCCAGAGCTTATCTATATTCATACGTTTACATTTAAACTGACATTTACGTCTGTACAATATTATAACTTATAATTAAGGTTTTATTATAAGATCTAGAAAATAACTTAAATAATAAAGTAAAATATTAAGAATTTCAGTTTTTTATTTGCAATAAAACATCATAGTTCACTTTTTTGGGCTTATTTTAGTAGAAATAACAAAATAAGGAACAAAAAACAAATATATCATTAATCAATTATTTATTTATTTATTTATTTACTGTTCTTATAACTAGAAAAATGGGGCATATAGCAAATTTTATTGGTCAATCCAAACTACATTTTACATACGGATGTCATATACAAAACTATGAGATTTTGGATTCGGGAAGTCCAGAAAAAAATATCTACACTAATATTATAAAGAGGAAAGATTTGTATTTTTGTATGTTTGTTACGAATAAACTCTAAAACTACTGAACCGATTTAGATGAAATTTGATAAGTAGATAGTTTGAGATCCTGGAAAGAACATAGGATATTTTTTATTCCGGAAATCATCCCTTATGGGGATGAAAATGGGGATGAAAGTTTGTATAATTAATCAACCTAGGGAATCGTGGTGTGTCGCTAGTTGGCTATACATTAAAACTTTTTCAATAGCATTTCTAATTCAGTCGGATGTCTCAAATCTTATCTGTAGACGAAAGTACATTTTATACGACGAAACTATATTTCAACTTATTCTGAATTATGATAAAACATAAATAAATACGAGGGGATTATGGGGATATTGAAGGTCGGCCCATGCCCAGCAGTGGGACGTTAAAAAAGGGGCTGAATACATAAATAATTAAGTTCTTGATACAAACAACATTATATATCTCCATACATATAAAGGAAATAGTATACTCGAAGAATCACCATATCAACTATTCGTACACTAGCATGAATATTTGTGATTATTTAATATTAAACATAAATGAAAGAAATGAAAAACTAAAAATGCCTTGAAATTAAAAAAAAGACCTCGTCCGTGAAAACGTTTTCAAGTCATTGTATTGATTGACCAAAAATTTTGCAATATGCAATACATACATACTAAATACTATATAACTAACACAGGTCACGTGACAAAAGAACATTGAAGCTTTTACAATTGGTTATATTATCTTATTATTTATAAATTATGATATAATTTTCACTTAAAATTACTATTAACACGTAAATAAATTTTTTTGTGAATATGGTCCCGTAAACTAAGAAACAAATAATTTTTAAAACGAACTCTGACATATATACCTAAATTACAAATGAATTTATTAATTTAAAAAATTATATTATTTATGCGGTGCGAACGCATATATATATATATATATATATATATATATATATATATATATATATATATATATATATATATATATATATATACAAATAAATTCGCGAACGCTTATATATATATATATATATATATATATATATATAAAAAATCAATTATAAATTAAACAGGCAGTTACATTTAATAATAAAGAAATGTCTTTTTTTAAGATAAAAAATAAAGATACATAACTTGCTATTAAACTAAGTAAAAAATAAGTTGATTGCTGTGAAATGTCAAATAACTTAAGACAATATGGCGGACGTATCTTATCTATGTCAAATGTCAGAGTTCGTTTTAAAATATAACTTAAAAAACTAAATAACTATTTGCAACATATAAATAAGATCGAAATGTTACGTTAATTTCATATAATCTTTTCTTGGAGGTAATTTGGCCTATCGGATATTTTTGTGCGAAGCTTACTATAATAAATTATTTTTATTATCTGTATACAACAAAAGTGTCGTAAATAAAAAATATATGAATATTAAATGGTATAGAAAAATACGACGAAACTAATTATATTTCACTCCAGAGTAAACATATGGCGTATGGACATAAATGCAATATCTCATATACATATAATATTATAATTTAGGAATCTACGATTTTGAATGTGGCAACATTAATAAACCTAATCTTTACCTTGGCAACACTCCAATATAATTATTGATAAAATATTTTGTACACATATAATATTTTTACCATTGATATTTATGTAATTAATCTATTTAAGCTATCAGTTACATTATTCTTAATGTTTATTAAAAAAAACTGCATTTTGTTCTTGTATTTCAATGAATTTTTATTGTTAAGAAAATCTTCAAAACAGGTAAATGAAGGTTCTAAAATGAATTAAATGGTATTTTGATATAAACTATCTGTTAGTATTTGTATGATACTCATTTACTATTATCAATATGCAGTCTATAACTGGTATATATACCACAGTTTGCTAGTTTCAATAAGATTGGCCACCGTGGCCAAAATTAAACTTTAATAATAATATAAATTATTAATTATATAAAAATAGGATTTATATATTATGTAATTGTAAAATAATTATTTGGTTCTATAAGTTGTCATTTTTATATAAAATACTTAAGTTTTCTTAAGTTGTCATCTTGCGTAGAAAAATGGCGGGAAATCTTGTTTTGTTTAATGATTTAATGAAATACGCCATTTTTCGTAATTTTGTTTGAGGCCTTACTCTGACTCTATACAAAATAATAAATTCTGTGTGCCGTTACATCGAATTTTGTAATAAAATATTCCCATAACATATGACAAAAAGTATAATAATAATAAAGAAAAAACCAAAACCTATAATTATAGAACCGCCATTCACCCATTTGATTATTTGAGACACGGACAGACAAATTTGTACGTAACAAGATATCTTATATATTATTATTATCATATTTTTATACAAATGGCATATTTTAATTAAGAAACTAAGGAAAAAATGATATGCATGTGTAAATAAATAGCGATTTGGAATTTATATCAGCCTTAGCGATCTTTGGAATGTATTGACTAGGTATATATTTCTTATATCTACAAGTTTTAGAACATTTGTGATAATTTAACGTATTATATTTCTAAATATATTTTATAGTTTATTCACATCGATCAAAAAAGTACTTAAAATTGTCACCAATTGTGTTTAGGTAATTTTTCTAGTTGGAATAAATATACAACAATGTAAATTGAACCTTAAATGCAATGCATAAAGTTGTTTTCACAAAAAAAATTTAAAGTAAAATCACGCTCAAATGTTCAACTAAGAGCTCATTCGGTGAGGACATTTTTTTTCGCTGATTGTGTATCTTGTACTTTTTTGAGCGATGTTTATTGAGGTCGAATATTTTAACATTTTTGATAATCAGGATTTTTTCCAAATCCAACTTTTTCATGTGGAATATAAACTTTTAACGTTTTAACTTTGAAGCAGAAATAAATAATATTAATATTTGAATGGTGTAATTAAGATTAATATTTAATTTAATATTAAATAAAACACATTATTATCACTATGATTAGAAGCCATTAAAGTGAATCAGTTATTTCGAAATAAATAAATACATGAAAAGCACAAATATATTTTGACTAAATGAAAAATAAATGAAAAATTGTATTCTTTTCAAATTCCTAAAGTATTACTATAAATACATTTATTAAATATCCTACTAACATCATAAAAATAAAAAGTCGATACAAGAAAAACTAAAATGGCGACTGAAAAAAAAACATAATATGAGAAAATACATACATTGTTCATCAATTATTATTATTATTAAAAGTATATAATATATATTACTCATCCAATACTCTGCAAAGAATGTTTAAATTGCAATAACTTACTCAAGTTCATATGAACTAAGTCCGGGGGATTTGATATGACGAAGTAGGCCAATCCCAGTAGGGATAGCACCGCCCGCCATATTGAAAAATGCGTCCACGTGTGATAAAATGTAGGTATTGTTGGCTGAAATAAAAAAACATGTTTTTATTGTAGCGACAGATTATAATATACTAAAAAAAAATTTAAAAAAAGTTTTAATCTAAGTGACAAATTCTGCAGAAATTACTTCAGTAAATGAGAGTTGGAAGAAATTCGTTCTCAGTAAATATTGTACTGTAATAGTTTATCACTACATATTTACTATATAATTAATTTAATTAATATGCGTCTATCCTTAAAAAATTTTTAAATTAAAATTTAAAATAAAATAATTGAAATGTCTCTGTGTAATGTCAAAATAACAGCTTTTTACTAAATGTGTCTGAAAGTATATACGGTACTAATAAGAAAAAAACTTTTTTTTGTCTATCCGTTTGTTCCTGCTAATCTCCGAAACGGCTGGACCGATTTTAACGGGAGTTTTACAGGCAGATAACTGATGTTATAAGGAACACTTAGGCTACATTTGTTTAAAAAAATAATCAGGGTTCTGCGCAAAACAAATCAATAAACAAAATCCTCGTAACTAGTCCCTAGGGACGCACCTAAGCGAAGCGACTTTCTTAGATTTACGCGAATATTTGACATATTAAATAAAACTAGCTTTTCGGATTATTTCGCGTATTTATTTCGATTTTTGGTTTGGTGGAACCAAAATTAAAATAAATGGGCGAAATAATCCGAAAAGATAGTTTTATTTTATTTAAAATGTATAAACCCTATTTTATTAATAATAATTTTTTAATTTTAGAAATAAACATTAATTACTATAAAAACCCGTTCAGAGTGTGTAACGCGCGAAACGGAACTTCGTTCCAAAAATATTGCCAAATGTAATTTAAAAATATTGTAATATATTTTTATTTACAATTTAATTCGATTTTCTTTTCATTTTTTCGTAACGTACATAATTACATATAATATTAAGTTGTTAGGTAATAATTAGATATAACTGTCACATGTAAAATAGGCAGGTGATTGAAGTAAAAATAAAATGAAATGAAAAAACACAATCTTTTTTATACAAAATATTTTCATTGTATTAAAAAAATACCCATCTTTATTCAAACTCAACTAACAATAGGCAAATATATCATAAAATCACCCAAAAAAAAACCAATCAAAACCATCCAACCACCTTTCAACTCCGGTACCAAAACCACCAACAACCAACCAAAAACCAACCACCAACAACCAACTCACCGTAGTCACATTAGCTGTTATATTGGTGACCAAAGGCGCATACTGATACACCATCAGTTCATCATACATTCTGGCGGCGACACAAACCAACAGACACGCTGTGTAAAGGATCACTAGCACTATCGGCTGGAACCACGGTTGGAGCCCTCGTGTCAGATCTATACTGGTTACGTCCAACCTGGAAGCGAAAGAAATGATAGATAGTAGACTGTTAGAAATAACTATCTAAAAAGACCTACTCACTACCCAAAGATATTGAATGCTTATGTAGACTTCAATGTATTTAACTAGCTATATGGCTTTTTTTTATATTGGCTAATTTAACTTTTTTTTTTGGAATAGATCTAAGTATATAGTTGGGACATTAACACATAGCACCATCTAGTTCCATGGTTAGCTATAAGGCCTGTGTCATAGATACCAGATAGTTGATACAATACACATGTATAACTTTAAATGCATACATATCATAAATATAAACACCCATGACTGATGAATGCCCCCAGCAGGACTCGAACCCGCGACCTCTGGCATAGCAAGTAGGGCCACTACAAACTGAGCCAAATGTGTCATCACGTTTATGAGTTCCTTAGAAAAAGGGTGTTAAGATGCTGACAGTAAAATAACCCCATAAGGATTTCTTTATCACTTTTACAGGTATGAATAATGGAACTCACCTATCCAAAACTGACAGCAAACACAATACACAGAAGAAATAATAGCAGGCAACATAAGGCATTGTGACCACTGCATGGAAAGACAAGTGTCCTGCGTCCAAACTATCCGAATAGCTTATCAACAGTAAATGCATTAGAGCAAGACCACCCAGTATACCATGACATGCGGGTGCCGCATTCCTCCAAGCTTTCTGTATGGTTAGTGCAATATCTAGAGGAGTCAAGTCACCTAGTCTGTAAAATGATTATATGTATAGTTGAGTAATATAGTACTTATTTAAGTATATGTTACATACAATATTGATAAATTAAAAAAAAGATTCTGATGAATTGAGAACCTTCTCCTTTTTGAAAGTCGACTAACTAAAAAATAAGAGCTGGATACAATATGAATAATTTTAGTAGTAATTTTATGACGAATAGTGTCTATGAAAAAGTACCTAGTAATGTTCATAACTTACTTTTATAGCTGAAAACAAAGAATTCAATCCTCTTGTTAATGGCTTGCTTCAAAGCATTCCAGTTCAGTACAGATTATTTAGCTAATGTCACACGAAATGGAAAAGACACAAAGGAGGTTGGTTAAAAAAAAACAATAACTTAAATCATATTATTTAAGTATTTTAAATAACAAAAATTGAAATTTTAATAGACCTTTAAAGAATTCTTACTCAGTTTAAAAAAAAATATACCTTAAATATTTATCCCCATCTCTTGACTGTTGAGATTCCAATATCCTATCCCGAGACACAGCTCTAAAGGTTCCACCACCTTGTAAATATATTTTCTCTTGCCTCCGTTTAAATGGGTCCAGCCTTTCATCATTAGGTGATGTGACGGGTGAGGGTGAAGAAAATGGGTTGTCTATGTATTGATCATGATACGGCACTTTAGATTCTAGGCTTTCTAGCATTGATGTTAGGTCGGTGGGTCGAGCTGTAATTAAAAATAGGTATATATAAATACTTATTTTATATAAATAAAAATGGTTGCAAAAGTATGTTTGTGGTTTAGCCTGGGCTAAACAAAATACCAATGTGATCTTTATCATAAGAATAACTTTAGATTAATAAAGGATTATTAGTGATATAGTGGAGTTGGAGGATACCATATCAAAAAATTGCATGTATGTACATTCAAATTATAAACTTAAATATAAAAAACTAAAACTGACTTCAAAAACACATTAAAAGTAATTAATATATATTCCATGTTCTTCTTAAACCAAGTATATAATAATAATTTACAGCCTTCATTGAAAGTGTCTCTTTAGTAGATATTAAACAATTTCAATTCAAATTATATAAAATTATTAATTAAACCTTTGTTTTATTTTTCTTAAAATAAAATTAATAAAAGTATAGTCTACAATGAGTCAATTACCAGCTTTAGTTGTGGCCTTCGGCCGACTTGCAGTTTTAAATACTTTTGGACTGACATCCCTTCCATTGGCATTACTATCTTGCCTTTCCTCTCTAACTTTTCGCCGAGTCTTCCTTGGTTTATGCCTAACTTCCTTAGTAGTTCCGTTATTATTTTCAACATCATTTGCTTCAATTTCTAATTCTCCACTTAGTGTTACAACTTCTTCTTTATTATATTCTTTTAGATAATCATCGACCTGAAAATATTTTTCAAAAATAATGACATTTATTCAATTTTTAAATGAAAAGCAAGTTAATTTCAAGTAAGCTACCTAAGCCAAATATAACTTATTAACCGTTTCCCTGTCTCATGAGTCATATATGAACATTTCGATTGTTTAACTATTGTGTTTATTTTGCGGACTGTTAATCTGTTATTATTTCTATTTACTTAATGTTATTTTATTTACCTTCTCTAAAGCTATAAGACTAGAACCAGGTACTTCAAAATCATGCAGATCTCTATCCCTATGTTTTGATAAATGACGTTTTTTCTTTCTATTTGATGGGCTGCGTTTTTCCTTATGCCCGCTAGACGGTCTTGATAAAGTTTTCATAAATTTCTCATCTAAGCCATTTGGATCATGAGAGTAAAATACAAACGATGGATTTTTATCAGATTTTTTGATTTCTTTCTCTACAAAGCCAAGTATGCCTTTCTTAATTTGATCATGAATAGGAATCTCTGCGTCTATCGATTCTTGCTCTGCTTTAGTCCAGTTTTCGCGGGTTTTAGATTTTTCTGAAGGTTCTTCAGTAGTAATTTCTGGGTTTTCTTGATGTACATGACCGTTTGATAACTTTCGTGATCCTGATCGACTCCGAGAACGTTCCTTGCTTTTTTGTTTGGGTGAAGGAGAGCGGCCAGCAGTGTGCACTTCCACTATCTCCTCTTTCGTTTCTCCACTCCTTCCTGGCTTCATAGTTATTACTTAATGATTTGCACACCCACACAATATACGAATCAACCAACCAAAAGCAATACTTAATATATTAATTCTAATTTATGAGAAAAAAATTAACAGGAATATAATAGCTAAAAAGGATTTCCATGTTTGTTTATGTTTATAAAATAATTTTGTCACATTTTTGCTACTTTTTAGCGTCCTTACAAAACTTTGCTCGTTTAAAAACAAAGGAACTCTGAACTACTCAAAATTCAAATGTCAAATGTCACACGCTTATGACGTCATATTGACGTCATTCAAACGCATCCGATTCTTTACACGCTAAATATTTTATAGTTAATAAAGAATCTAATTTTTCATCATTAATATTTCATATTAAAATATGTAAAATAATGTTAAAAATAAATCAATAACTATCTTAATTGATTAAAGTGGTAAAGTATATTTTAATTATAAACTTTGTTTGAACACATATGGCATTACATTTTTTTTATCTTAAACATACCTACATAAGGACAACATTGTATCAAAGGAGAAAACAAGAAATTGTAGAGTATTTCAAATAAGAATATAATTCAGTATTTGGCTGTACTAATAGTGTTTTAAAACATAAAGGCACCAAATTAAATGATCGAGAATACAGACAACCTCTTGCAATCGGGCAACTAAGCATCAACACTTGTAGCTCATTAAGTTTGTCTTAAAGAAGCTAATACTAACTTGAAAAGTACTTATTTAAAGAAAATAACATACACCGAAACCAAATGGTTAATGTCGATGAAATGGAGGCATGCAAAGCGTTGAAAAATAGTTTTTTTTTTCAGTTTCTTACTGTGACATTCTTTCGAAAAATGTTTTCGACAAAAGTTGTAGATCTATTAAAAATCTACAATTTTTATAAATAACACTTTACAATATATAATAACCTCAAAACTGTCGAGATATTTGCAAAAAAACTCGGTTTTTAACTTTTTCTTTGTTTTTTATTTTTAATTTATAGAATAATAAAACAAGCAAAAAGAAACTAATCTATTTTTGTCTTTCTTATTTCTCCTATACATATTCAACATTTTAAGATGCTTAGATTACTAGCTTTTCCGGCAATCATATTACACATATAATAATTTATGTATAACTGTTCGATCGAATTTAAAAGTCGTAGTGTGATGTAGATAGCCTATAACCTTCCTCAAGAATTGTGCTATTAAATTTAAATATTTTTCAAATCCAAAAGGTCGTTCCAGAGATTAACGCATTCCGACAAAAAATAAACAAAAAAATTAGCTTTCTTATATTAGTATCGTTTTCAAAACCGAAGTATAACTCGAGAAGTAAGAAGTTACTTTTGATAGTAAAGGCGGAGTTAAAATCTACCGAAGGGTGAAAATTTATCTATCCCTATAATAAAATTGTAACGAAGCCAAATCTGTACATTAAATATTTTTTGGAAAATCTTTTGAAATAAACATGACTATCGATACAGAGGCCGAAACTATGGTTTTTAGAATTTTTGTCGTCTGTCTGTAACCACATCACAGAAAAACTACTGTAGGGATTTTGATGAAATTTGGTATGGAGATAGCTGGTTATCCGGGTCAACATATAGGATACTTTTTACCGCGTAAAAATGTCTCATTTCTGAGGAAAAAATACAAAAAATACAATGTAAGAGTATACTAATATGTAAAACCTAAGAATTTGGTTTTTGGTCATCTCAACGCGGGCGGAGCCGCGAGCAATGCTAGTAAGTTATATAATTTTCCATTCTTTATAGAACTTTTACTCTAACAGGCACACGCTTATCCTGAATGATATCAGTAAGTATTATACTTGACAAGAATATATAGATGTAGAAATAAATAAATAAATAAATATGTTGGAACATTAACACACAGCACCATCTAGTTCCATGGCAAGCTACGAGGCTTGTGTTATACTCTATGGATATCAGATAGTTGGTATACTACACATATATATCTTTACATACATACATATTATATAGCCCATGACTGGAGTACAAACATCCGTGCCCAGCACACAAATGAATGCCCCCAGCGGGACTCGAACCCGCGGCCGCTAGCACAGTAGATACAAACACTACAAACTGAGCCAAACGTGTCGTCTGATAAGAACTGACTGATAAGTTATATTTTGCCTCTGAAAATATACTTTTACAGCATATGTTAAAAAAATGTTTATTTGTTGTAGCCTATGGGCGGCACATTCGTAACTCGTAAGTTCGCCATGGGTGTAGTATTTAATCGTAAACCGGCAGATATCTGTAAATAACAAAAAAATGTACATAAAATACTTAGCTTACAAAAATTTCTAAATGTATACAATTATCTTAACAAGCAATAATTGAATTACTAACTGCAGTTACTTTAAAAATTAGTAAGTAATAAAAGTGTTATTTTATTGTCCAGTTAAATGTTAGAATTCAAAATGATTATTATATTAGCAATAGTGTAGCGCCGTACCAGGTGGAGATTGGACTGGACTCACAATTTTGGAATGTAACCGACCTTTAGCCAACGCCTATTATACGTATAAAGTATAAGCCGAAAGCGTTTTTAAATATAAAATAATATAACCCACTTATCTTCTGTAACCTCTATGCCTGTAGTAAATTTTTTATCAATTGTTACCATTATGTGATAATCATGAATATGACAAAAAATAATAATTGCTCAACATGTTTTGTATTAGTTCATGTTCCATTTATTTATTTACTCCTTAAATCCATTTTTAGCCATAAATACGAATTTGATAGATTTTATAGGAAATAAAAAAGCTAATTTAAAGAAGCTAAGCCAAGCTTTGAAAGACGACATAAGTAACTAACTATACTCGTAAGGTTATAAATTTATATAACTGCTTTTCAAGATTATAAAATAACTTCAACTATAATAACTACAACATAACAATAAAAAATTTTAAACCCAACAAACTTATAATAAAATGTGACTTTGTACATCAATCGCCCATATCAAATAGCGGGGGTTGCTATAGGAAGAAAGTGGGAGTTCAAAAAAAAGCTTTGAAAGAAAAGCTCAGATTTGTGTCATTGCTCCACACACAACATTCGAGTTAAACAACAGGCGATGAAGGAGGAAATTATTATTTAATTATTTAAATTAATTCATATAATACTACAAGTGTAAGGTTGTAGTATATAATTTTATTAATATTGATATATTTTATCATTTATAATCCAGATCTTTTCAATCTTTACCATTAATCATAATATATCTTTCTTTGTAAACAAAACAAATACACAAAGTCATGAGCTAACGATACGATAGAAAGAGATAGCTTATAATTTGATCAATATAATGGCTTAGTATAATATTTTAAGTTTGAAATTAAAATTTCTTCAAAAACATGTAAATATTTGTTATTACTGTAGGAGGTATTTATTCGAACAATATATACTTAAGTAAAACCACAACATACGGCTTTAGGCTAACTAAGGAATTTAATTAAAAATAATGAAAGGGGAAAAATTAAATACAAGGAAAAATTTAAAAACCCCGATTGGGTAAAGGTTGCGTATGCACTTCTTTGTATCGCGTTGGTATCAAAATTGTAGCATAAAATGCTTTTGTGCATGGAAATTCGTCGTTTTGTAATCTTTTATGACCGTCACCAAGAAAATTGTCATTTTTATTAATATTTAATTTTATATTTCGGATTAAAATGCTGAAACACAAAAAATCCTGAATTGAAGTTCAGTCTTTGATCATTTTTTCATACAACGTATTTTATAGAAATTGCTGCCTCCAGAGCTGTACATATAAGTGCATTTTTAACCGACTTTACAATAGAAAAGTACCGATTTATTTTTAAGTTTATGATACAAAAATCATTCTCATTTAGTAGAATTAGTACTCATAAAGTGATTTTGGTCAGTCCCCTAATTACAAAGAGTGGTGTAAAGGCTAACTATATGCTAAGATTTTGGTACTTAAACCAAGAGATATTTTGTATTATTACTATTAAAACCTACATATATGTATTTTTAAAATAAAGAATTCTCCATTTTTGTTTATTTTCCTTTATATTTATGACTATCTTTTGAAATATTTAAAATATTGTGTAGACTGAAATGATATTACAAGTAGTTATTTCTCATACATAAGCAATATTAGTTGATATAATACCAACATGATGCAGCTGAAAAAAAATCTAATTTGATCTCCAAAATTATCCTTAAAACAGAATTCACCTTACAATCCAATATAAGGTTTCCGTATTCTCACTTTAAAACACGGAACTCTAAAACTAAAGTGGACTGATCTTGACAATACCTAACCATTAACTTTAATCATTCATACCTACGCCTATGTAAAACTAAAGCTGGCCGTCAGTAAATAATAATAACATGTAAATATTGTTAATTGCTATGTATGGGCATCTATTACATATCGATTGGTTGTAATTATATTAAAACACTTCCTCTATTTGTTGAGTTGGTAACGCATGTTAATATTTTGTTTCTATACAATTTACTGAGACTATATTAAGTTATAAGTAATTACAATCCATACTAATATTATAAATGTGAAAGTGTGTTTGTTTGTTTGTCCTTCTTTCACGTCGAAACGGAGAGTATATGGAGATAGTTGGAGGGCTGGAGAGTGACATAGGCTAATTCTTTTTTGAGATTATCTAATTCCCACGGGAAAACACGTTATAATACAATCCAAAAAAATATTTATATCAGAATTACTTGATTATTGGTATTAATGCTCTTCAATAAAATTAAATAAATACGTGTTTTAGCATTTTTCGAAATTCATTCTATAAGGAGGTAAAATAGGGTGTGAAAGTTTGTATGAAACTACCTTTTTAGAGATTTTTTTGTAGTTTTAGCGCGAGCGAAGCCGCGGGTTCTGCTCGTAATATATAAGTTTCATAGCTCTACCTTGTTATATATTGATATACTTATAACTTAGACTTAACGAATTAGTAAAGAACCAATATATTAAAAAAAATTAAATTAAAAATTTACA